ATATCCAAATGTAAAGGCTCACCAGGCTATACATTAAAGATTTGTGTTTTGTACTAATGTAAAAGAACTTTAAAAATCAAGGGAAGTCCTATGTTAATGTAAAAAAAAGCAATAATAATACATGTTCATTATGTAGTTATAATATTATACATTATAGCTGCCACAGTTTAAATATAACGGCCCACTGTTAGATTGTAAGCAACCTGAGGGCAGAGACCATGTCTTGCACTTCATCCATGACTCTGCCCTGTGTGTGGGGCATGCTCAGCCTGAAGCAGGGAATACTGTCTGATGGGCACCATGAAGGGAAGGCCCATGCTGTTATTAACTCATTCCTGGAGAAAACACCTCATGCCAAAGTCACAGGCGACAGAAAACAGAGCACCTTAGAGAAGGCATGCATGTGACCTGCAGGACATCAGTCACCTAATTTACAAAATGAATGCATCTAAGTGTAAGTCATTTTTCAATTCTATGATATCTGGTATCCTTAAGCTAATACTATTTGCGGCTACTAGAAATTTCTTACTATATCCATTTATTTGAAGAGGAGTAGGAAAAAGATACTGTGACATTTTCAATCCTCTATGTGTGATCACTGGCATTTACAGATCATTCTTTACTTTCTCTGTTCTCCTGGAAACATGATTCTTCCTGTCTCACTGACTTTGAAGACTTTACTTTCTTCTTTGGTACATTACATCCATAGCAGCCCATGCCCCCACCTCACAGCTCCTTCCAAACTTATTCCTCTGAGCCTGGGGACGGACTCCTGCTTTCCATTACCAGATTCAGAGACTTCTATGGGAATTGTGACATGCCCCCTTCTAAAGACATTTTCAATATCCAGGACTTCAATTTGCAGGGTGCTTGTCCATCTGTTTTGGCTATTCAGCAGAGTTTCTGCTATGTTTTAACCACCCCAATTTTCTAATAATGGTCTCCAGAATCACAGCAAGGAGTTTATTTGCCAAAGGATGAACAAACAGGTTATTTTAGTGGTTAATGTATAAGATGGATATTAAAATTTCAGTTAATTAAAAGCAGTCAGAGGATGTGGGGAAAGCCAAGGGGAAATGTGGGGGAAAATCACACCCTAGGCCTGCCTGAATTCACTATTAGAATAATTCTAAAGAATACAGAGGAGATCCCACATCGGCCAGTAATACCCTAGTGGCTGATTAACTGTACGTTGATAATAGGGTATAAATGAGGTTAAGAAATCTGGCTTCAGAAGGACAATGCCTTAATAATCTTCTTGCCCATCTGTATAATTGTTATTGTTTTTGCTACTATTATCTTAAATGAGGCACTCACAGTTTGTGGGTTAAGTATTCCCTTACTGGAATGAGTGCTTTGATTTGTGAATCAGTCTCCTGTATGTGTAACTTATCACGATGAATTTATAGACTTGGAATGTTGGAAATCAGAGTGCCAGCAGAGACAACTGCCAAGGGAGAGTAGGTGTGCTTGGGCACTTGCCAAGGCTGTCTTTTGGAAGCAGGCAGTTGGGCTACAGGGTCCCCTCCAGCCTGCAGTGTTAGTGTAGACTCAGACTCACCTACTGAGACTCAAAGGCACATGCACTAAAGCCTGGGTTCTCAACCTCTCCCAGCCTCCATTATCCACACCTCTCAGTGAACAGCAGTAATTCTCAATGGGAGGGGGATGGGTGAGGGAGAATGAGCAGGTCCACAAAGCCTCCTCCCAATACAATCTGAGAAGAGGTGGCTTGCTCTGCTGTTGCCACCCGCCACCCGCCCCATTTCTCATCCATACCAGATGTTAATATATGCTCATTAAGAGACACGTGCCAACACCCCCTTTCAAGCAGAGACTCTAAAGAGAACATGGGTGTGAGCTCAGGTGGATGGGGCAGAGTTTTGATGGAGCTGCCTGAAGTATGAAGACCAAAAGAAAAGATAGGAAGCAATCAAAAAAGCAACTCTGAGGTGCCAAGTAAGTAAGAGATCATGGAGAACTTTCAAAATATAACACTTTCCTTAATATGATTTGTTAATAGTTTCTCAAATCTAACCAACAGAATCTAACCAAACAAACTGGCATTAATAATGACAACAACCACCTTTTCTCAAGCTTGGGACACCTCTGATTCTGAAGGTCTAGTATTCCAAAGGCTTGCCTTCTTCAGAGATTAACATAATTTGTTGTGCAATCACATTCTTTTAAAATATGCTGAATTAGAGGGAGGGAGGAATGAATAGATGGAGCACAAGGGATTTTTAAGGCAATGAAATTACTCTGTGTGATACTATAGTGGTGGCTACATGCCATTGTGCATTTGTCAAAACCCACAGAATGTACAACATCAAGAGTGAACCCTAATGTAAACTATGGACTTTGGTGATAAAAATGTGCCCATGTTGGTTCACTGATTGTACCAAATATGCCACACTGATGAGGGATATTGAGGGTAGGGGAGTATATATGTGTGGGTGGGGAGGGCTATGTGTGAACACTCTGTATTTTCTGCTCAATTCTGTTGTGAACCTGAAACTGCTCTAAAAGAATAAAATCTATTAAAAAAATAGTAATAATAAAATATGCTGAATTGAATCCTTGTGCTTCTATGAAACTAAAAAAGTACCAAGAAAACTGTTTTTTAAATTTCATTTTGAAAGCTCAACCATATTTGTATAATTTTAGTCCTAACGTCTACTAAAGTGAAGTCCAATTAATAAAGACAGTATCATTATTTGCCTTTGTTTGCTATATGTTGTTACAGATAACAAGGAAAAAAATTTCTACTGCAAGTAGCATTAACTACACAATAAAATGCTTTAAAGTAATATTCAAATTTCTAGGGCTAATTTACTCCTTCATTAATAATTAAAGTTTTATTATTATTAAAACATGGATTAAAAGTTTACAAAATGTTACCAGGGCCAGGCACCCAGAGATTGGATTGACTAAATGATAATCTGGAGTCATAAAATGAAAACTTCCCTTCACATACCCTGAGTTTATAGCCTTCTTTCTGCACCAACTCCCTCAGTTTTCATGCCTCAGCACTTCTTGATTTTGCCTCTTTCCCCATGGGTTTTGCCTGGGAATTCTGTGAGTGCTCTCTGCTCTTCCACCTCACGCAGGAAATTGCTGATGGAGGAACTTCCTATGAGGGCTAAGCTTTTCCCTGCAATGCACTGGGGGCAGGGAGTGCCCTGCAAACAGCTTGGGAGAACAGATCCCAGATCTCAGGCCACACAGCCTTGTGGCGAGAGTGAACCAACAGCCACCTCACCCCTCACATTTGTGGTCTAGTTCACAGAGTGATTTCACACACCAGCTAGCTGGCAATTCTTAAGCCCGCAGTAAAACCACCCAGGGATTCACCTCATTCATCAGTGGACTGCAGCTGCCTTTTAAGGGCCACAGCAGGGATGGAAGGGTATTTCTTAGCCAGGACAAAATCAGCCAGTGAAGAGGGATCCTCCCTCAAATACAAGCCCTGGAGTTGGAGATGTGCTCCACCAGCGGAGGGAGCTGGGTTCAGATCCTTCTTCAGAACTAACTAGATGTGTGACCTTGGGCACTAGGCAGGTTACCTAATCTTCCTAGACCTGTTTCTTCCTCTATTAAATGTGGCTAATAAAACTGACCCTACAAGGTTTGGGAAGCTTCAAAAGAAATGATGCATGCAGCTCAACCAATGTCTGCTATGTAAGAAGTACACAGCCAGTCTGAAGTCCTAGAATGAGGCAGTGGTGAAGAGCCTGGTTAAGAGCCAGACCTGTGTTCAAATCCCACTCCTACCATTTAACAACACAGGATAGACTATGTGACCTTTCTGACTCAATTTTCGCATCATTCAAATGGAGTTTTATTACAATACAAAGTAGATACCCAAAAAATATTAGCTATTTTTTATTTCATTGTGAGTAAAAACAGATTTTGTTTCCAGTTCAACCAACAATGTAGTAGTGAATTAAATGAAAGTTCAGTATAAAGTGTATTTTTTTTTAATCGTGAAGGCCTTGCAGGCTTTTATGACTTTTCTGGGCAGAGTCAAGCTGTGATGCTAAGGGTGGGGCTAAACTGTAATATGAAGAAAAAAATTCAAAGAGGGAGAATAACCACCCACTAGGGAGCTATTTCTTTTGTAATGTACATTCCATTTCTTCTCCCTCATGCTTTTTAATTCCTTCCACATTTCCTGCCATAATTATCAAATGTTTGGTTTCTGACCTCACTTTTCTGGAGACTAGAGCTCAGGGAATTTAGAATTGTTTATTTTCTGTCCATAAACCTTTGAGTTAATGGAGGGGCTTGTGTGTAAAGGGTTTGTTGGTTTGTTTGTAGTGTCTCAGGAAGGTCACTGGAGTTGAAAAGAAAACATTACCAAAAAAGCGCTGAAATACTTTGACTGGAAACGCAGAGCCCTCAAAAGAGCAGAGCAATGGATCGCTCATACTTGCGCAACACTAGTTTAAGAAAAAACTGAGATGTTTTAAAGGCGTTATATGGCTCTGATAGTAACACAAAATCCGAGGGCACTTTACAAAGAAAGGGAAAAAAATCAGGGAATCATAATCTCACTTTATAAAAGAGAAAAATATATTCCTCCCCGAAAGAAGAATCTCTTGAGACTGCCCTCCCCCTCGACCGACTCGGAAGGAAAGTCTCCAACTATTCTCAATTTCCTCTTAAGTGAAGGAAAGAACTCAGGAGCCTTTTTGAACTCAGCTCCTGCTCTTGTCGCCGCCTGCGTCCCAATCGGCCCAGCTCGTCCCCCACCCCCCACCCTCTCCCTCCATATTAGTCGCGGTGAGGCTCCCGCTTACGGCCCAAACTACTTTTCCCGATTTTAAGGTTTAAGTTTCGTAAGTAGCATTTCTGCACGGAGCGCCCCCCTCACCGGCGATGGAAACTCCCAGTCCCACCCGGGGAGAGCATCCCCAGGACGCACGTACCGCCCGCGCGACGCACAGACCCCAGTGGCCCCGGAGCCTGAGTTCGGACCTCCTCAGAGGCTCACCTACCTCGGCGTGGACCCAGGCGACCGCCACCAGCGCGAGCGCAAGCCAGCGTGTCCACATCTGCGGAAGAGAGAAGAGCGAGACTGAAGGCACCGGGCCCCGCGCCGACCCCGGAAACTTCTTCAGGTCCCGGAGGCTCGCCCCCTCCGCCCGCCACCCTCGGCCGGCCAGAGGGGTCGGGCCAGTGCACTCGGCTGCGCGCCGCACTCCGCTCTCACCATGGTCTGGTCCCGGTCTCCGGAGGGCGTGGGCAACGCGGCTGCAGCGAGCT